TCAAGATAACGGCGTGGTGTTGTTGCAGGAAGTCCTAATAGAGAATACTTTTGCTGTAGTACATCTCTATATACATCGATACAACATTACGTGTTGATAGAAATCAACACGTAATGAAATAAGACCCCACGGTTTGATGAGTGATAGGTGTGTGTGGGCTGTTTTTCATCTTGACACACAGAACAATGTTATAATAAACATACATACATAGGCTATGACATACATATACATATGTATATATATATACACATATATATATATATACATATACATATATATACATATACATAGGTATGTTAAATGGATATATCCGCCTTCTTTCATTTATCTTTCCATTCCCACAACAATATACATAAAGAAATGGCATATTTTGGACATAGTTCGAATGGTGATTAATCATGATTAATTAATTTTTAAGCTGTGATTAATCTGATTAAAAATGTTAATCGTTTGACAGCCCTAGTAATCACTAAAGCCTGCTGTGTTACCTTTTGTGTATTCAATGTGTCGTATGAATAATGTTTGATTAATTGATTGATTGAGAATGGAGTGTGGCCTCCCCTGCTGATTCAGCATTGTACTAACTTGTTGATTATTTAATACATTTTTTGTTTCTCACTTTGTATTATTAGCCTTACGAATCATTTAACGCTGACTGCATTTATTTCAATGAGCACTATTGTATGATTTAAAGTTATTCATGTTATTATTGTTATTGGGTGACTGCTGTCATAGTTAAACTACAATCCTTTGTTTTATTAAAAAGTCACATTGTTATGACTTTTATTTCTCTCTTCAACTGATAATTGGGTATTTTCTACTGTAAATTAAACCTAATTTAACTGAAGAAATACTGTCAGAGGTTCTGCTGTAATTCCTCTAGAATTGTTTTTCTCAGAGATAGAACCATTCTAAAGTATCTATCTGTTTTGCTTTGAAGTATATATATATTGTGGTATACTAAGTAAACAAACAAACAAACAAACACAACTGTCACAGACTGTATCAGCAACACTTGGCCAAGAATAGGTTCTAGGTCAGGTTGTAGTTATAATAAATGTTACCTCAATTATTCCACTTGGATCCTATTAAGTAAAACCGACCTACATTAGCTCGCTGGCTAACAACCAACTCTTTCAAGCCATAGGCTAAAGGTAAATTATAAATACATAGTAGACCTTTATAATGCGTTCTAAAATACATTTAGGTTGGCAAAAAGGGGGATTTGATGTAACTGATGTTTATATTGTACAATGTTTGAGTATAACCAAACATATAGCAACTACATCAACAATTATACACAGGTACTAATTGATTGTTTGTACCAGGCGGTGTTCTTATAGTGATTTATTTTTGGCCTTGCACATTTAAAGCGCCTGCCAGGTGATCCTAAAAACAATGCAAACCCCACGCCAATCTCCTTAACCCTCCTATTGCCTTCGTTTCCCCCTCCTTACTTTGGGGTTCGCGGTCAAATTGGACCGGTCCTGTTTTAACTGCTTTTACATTAACACAAAAACCATTAATCATCACCAAATGTCATTTAACACCCTTACAGACTGTAAATATTGTATCAGACTACTGGTATACATGAAGAACTGTAGTAAATATACAAAGAATAGTCACTGAACATGTATTGCGTGTGCCAGGTGTGATCCATGCGGGGGGATGGGCACATACGAGCGGGAAATGTGTCAAATTGTGTGTGCGTGTGTGCGTGTGCGTGTGTGTGTGTGTGTTTTATCTGATCCGGATGGTTACTAATTATTTTTCCTTATGGCGGTCATTTTTGACCAGGAACACCATGGGTGTTACAAAGTTGACTAAATCATCCACAATTCAATGAAAGTGGTGATCAGCAATTTGATATGTTCAAAT